AAAGGAGACGATTACCTATCAGCCTCTGCACCTCTCTCTTGCCCAGACACATGCTCTTCCTGGTCCCAGAACGGCCGGCACGCCGGTGCCCGCGAAGTTCCTGCCCTCCGCCCCCTCCTGCGAAAATATTTTGGCAACCCAGAGCAAAAGCAAGGATCCACCAAAATTTTCTGCCATGTGTTAAGACTATAAATTAAAATTGCCCTTTTACTCAAGGTCAAATACCTATATATTTTTTTTTTCCTGAAGCTAAATACTTCAAGCCTTCAATTTTATCATAAGGTGTTGTGAGAATTTAATTAATACAACATAAATGAAGACATTTGGAAACTGGAAGGTGCTACCCATTAAAATTATCACCTGACTTTGCAAGATGAGTAACATACAACAAGTTGTCCTCGTTTCCTCCCTCCCCCAAACCTTTCACAACACCCGAGTCTCCCTCTTGCCTGTCTCCCCCCCGCAAAAGTGGAACGGGCCTGCCCCCAGACGGACCGTTCGATGAGCCCGTCTCAGCCCTAACAGGCCATCTGCCAGGCGTGTCATCCCGGATGTCATTTCACCAGGGAAATGCACTCTAGTTCACGGTAATTACAGCATCACAGACAATAAGGAAGCAAAATGGTTAAAAAAGAAAGAAACGGATGTTTCTTTACAGATGTTAGTTAATGGATGTTCACTAGACTTATTGACGTAGTCATTTCACAATCTATACAAATAACAAATCATTACGTTGTACACCTGAAACTAATATAATGTTATATTGCCAATTACACCTCAATTAAAAAAAAAAAGCCAGCCCCCCAACCTCCCCCATGCGCACCTGGACGCCAGCCTGCAGACGCTCCCACAGCAGTTTCTGGGGTAAAGAACACCCAGCGCCCCTGCGTGGGCCCCGCCTAAAGCTTCTTCACTGCTGGTTTTGCAATAGGAAAAGAGCTAATTGACCACATCTTTCAAAAACCCTCCCCCCCACCAAAAAAGAAAAAGAAAAAAAGGAAAGAAAGAGAGAAGGAGGGAGGGAGGAGGGGAGGGGAGGAGCAACCTCAGTCTGAGAATGCAGAGATTTAGGTAAATCAAATGCAAGAGAACAACTACGTCGAGGTTAAAAAATAGTAGTAACAGGCTGGTCTGGGGCCTGCAGTCACTCCCTCCTCTTTGGTGCTCCTCACCCTGGGTCTGCGAAAAGCCACCACATCAGCACTAGCACGGAACACAGCGGCGGTCAGCGGCCTCTGCCGTCTCCTCCCAGCCCCTCCGGCCCTCGTCTCTGACTCAGCTCTCCCTTGGCCCCGACCCTCCGCCTGCCCAGCCGCCCCCGTACCCTTTATGACAGCCCTCAAAATCAGGTCGCCCGAAGGCGAGGCCTAGCGGGCAGGATGGCAGATGCTAGGTGTTTCCTGTCCTAGAGCATCAGAGAACCTCACGCGATACTTTTTGTATTTTCATTTCAATTTAAGGGCTGCTGAACAAATACTATGGGTCACGCCGGGATTCCGGGAAAGATGCAACATACGGGGGTCAAAGGCGAGACACTCTGCTGCTGCTCTTCCTGCTCCTGGTCTGACTGTGAGACGCTCACTTCCTCCTCGCGCCCGCCTCACCTGGAATGGCCATCCTCACACAGGGCGGGGCCAAGGCAGCTGACAATGTGAGTCCACGGGACACAAAGTCTATTCTTGTATCATTACTTATTAATTACTGTGTTATCTTCTGTACAAACAACTGTAAACCTACTTTTGCCCCACCCTGTGTTCCATACATGCCGATAATTTCTATCATTTCAGAAATGCTACACTCTAGTAAAAAAGCTATTTTTCTGGACCTACAGTCCTTTTCTTCCTCTTAGAATGAACAACTACTTTTATAATCTCCTACGTTTTCAAAACACTGTTAATTAGTACATGCCAAAGTAACACACTAACAAGTTATATTTTTACACTTTGCATTTCCTGATTTGTCTTTTTCCTGTTAAATCGCACTGTTTGATTACAACCAATTCTTAAGCTTTCTCTAACTTAGACTCAATTATTTACACATTATAAAAATTAGTTTCTCTTTTGCACATTTTTAAAATAATGGGCTAAATGATTATTCATCCAATTTTACAATAAGAGTTTTCAGTAACTCCAAGAGCCTTATCAACAAAAAGTCAACTCTTCAGGGCCTCAAAGAAACGATATATTATTGCTACATAAAAAGTTAAGGCTTTTGTTGATATCAATTCAGTATTATTAAGACTTGCTTAAAAAAACAATTCAACTAAAAAAATACAGAGGACCTAAAGAGACACTCCTCCAAAAAGGACACACAGATGGCCAACAGACATGTGAAAAGATGCTCAACATCACTAATCTTCAGAGAAATGCACATTAAAACCACAACAAGCTGTTACCTCACGCCTGTCAGAACGGCCATCATCAATAAATCAACAAGTGGTGTTCAGGACGTGGAGAAGGGATGCAGATCAGTGCAGCCACTGTGGAAAACAGCATGGATGGTCCTCAAAATACTAGAAATGGAGCTGCCTTATGACCCAGGGATTCCACGTCTGGGGATATATTAGAAGACACCCAAAACATCAATTCAAAAGGATACACGCACTCCTGTGTTCACTGGAGTGTTATCTGCAATCGCCAAGCTATGGAAGCAGCCTAAGTGCACATCAGTAGACGAGTGGATAAAAAACCTGTGGTCCCTATAAACGGAATATTACTGAGCCATAAAAAGTGAAACCTTACCGTTTGCAACGGCCTAGATGGACCTAGAGAGTATTGTGCTAAGTGAAATAAGTCAGTCCGAGAAAAACAAACACCATATGATTTCCCTCGTATGTGGCATCTAAAAAACAAAATAAACTAACAAAGCAAGCGCAGGCTCACAGACACACAGAACAGATGGCTGCCAGACGGGCCGGGGCCGGGTGAGGAAGGTGGAGGGATGGAGCAGCCCAGGCCGGCATCGCAGAGCAGTCGCCGGGCGAAAGGGGCAGCCTGGGGCCCGCGGCCAACGATTCTGTAATAACCGTGCGCAGCGCCCCGCGGGCACGGGGAACACGAGGGGACTCTGTGTAAAGTACGGGACGGGCCAACCTCTCCGCTGCACTCCTGCAACTTAATACAGAAACAATACTGAAGGAAAAAGAGACGTGCTGAGAGAAAACAACTCCAAACACTACCCACATGGCTCCACGAATTCAGACAGTCCCAAAGGAACGAAGACTGTCTGAAGACTGGAGGTAAAAGAGAAAGGACGTCAGAGCCGACGGCCTGCCACCTGCGTTGGACCCCCCTGCGGTCTCAGCGCTGAAAAGTCTCGCTCTGTCCTGCTGGGAGGATTGAAGTCCATCGATGTTAAATCACTCTTACAATATAAGTTTCCTATGCATTTAAAGGTATGAGCATAGTAAGGAAAAATGTGATCATGCTAGGGCCAGAGAGAGAGAGAATATGAACATACCTATCTCCCTAAAATAAACCTTGCTCCTCATCGGCAAAAAAATGCTGAGCTGGTCGTGCCCTGCGCGCGCGCGCTGATACAGCAGCAGCAGCCGCCCGCTTAGGCCAGGGTGCAGGCCGCACCCCGCGCTCCGGAGAAGCGAGGCTCCGCCCGGGCACGAGCCCGGGCACCCGCTCCGTTCCAATCGGCGCGCTCACAGCCAGAGACGCCTCCGCAGGGGACAAGATTCCCTTCGCGACGGGCACTGGCCTCTGTGAGCGCGATACCCACGGTAATGGCGCAAGGTGTGCGGGGGACAGGTGTTTTACTGTGAACCAAAGTCATGACTAAAGTGTAAGTAAAGAATTCAGATTTGAACATAAGGGCGTTTTTGGCTTTTTATTTATTTATTTATAAGCAGCAGAACACAAAGCAGTTAGCGTGCTAACGCCAGACCCAGGAGTCCTGCGGTCCCGCTGCTGTGAAACGGAGCCCGGATGCAGAGGAATCCTGTATTGCAGGAGAAATCCCCGATGGCATCAGCGACAACTACGCCTTCAGGAAGGAGAACAGTGCACCAGGGTCCCTTGGAAAGGGCAAACGCTTCCACATCAAGCACATTTGAAATCACCTGCAGCAAAATTTCCAGCTCAATCCCTGAAGCCGGGGGCCCGAGCGATTAAATCATCCCCATCAGCAGCTTCCCTGAATGTCACTCTGACAAAATACTTGCAAACTTTCTTTTCTGAGTAACCATGGCGCTGCTGCGCCCATCCCAGGACTGCTTACTCCACAATAACCCTAAGGCCCTTCATACCAACTCAACGGCCTCCTAGAAATGCCACCCTTCCCGGTACAACGTCAAAGGCTTTGCTGAGGGGTGGGAGAGAAGGGATGGGGTGGCTGCCTCTAGCTACAAGGTTGCAACTTTCTCACCTAGAAATCCTTGGACTATTAACTCTGACTTTTCTCCATAACCTCTGTCTTCCCACACAGTTGCCTCTCTCTTACATTAGCGACACCCCAACGCTAACTGTCCGACAGCGCTGGCCCCTAGGCGGTCCCCTGCACACCACACACCCTCGCCCAGCGCACCCTCCACCTAGGCATATCCCTCCTGCTTCCCTGTGGGGCAGTGGGCGCCACGCACGCAGGGCACAGACACCCGGGTTTCCCCGAAGCGCAGCTCTTTGCTGTCTACACCCGCGCCCACACGCCCTGGAAGTGGCTTCGGAACTCCGGGGGGCCGGCCGGCCGCCCGGGGGCACACACGCCCCGGCCTCGGCACTGCTGTGGCAGCGCGCAGGGCCAAGCATGCACGCGCGCACGTCGGTGCCCGGAGCCCCCCCGGGCGGCACGGGCGCGGGCCGTGTGGGGGCTGGGTGGGCACGCCGGGAGGGGCAACGGAGCCTGGCGGCGGCGGGCCGACAATAACAGGCGGGTCGCCCCCTCCCGTCAAGGGGCTGCCCCCGCCCCAGCCCGCGCCGCGACTGCCGCGCGGATGGCACACGGCCCCGGAGGGGGCGGCGCGGGCGCGACGCCAGCAGGGCCGCCTCGCGTACCTGGTCGATGGGCAGCTGCACGGCGTTGCTGAGGGGCTGCAGCAGGGTGGAGCCCGTGGTGCTGGTGGTGGCCATGGCCGGCCTGGCGCTCTGCCCGCCGCGCTCCGGCCGCCCGCGCGCTCTGCCGGGCGACGCCGAGGATGGGGATGCAGCCGGCGCGCCTGCCCCCTGGCCGCCCGCGGTCGGGGCTGCGCGGGGCGGGACCGGGGAGGGGCCGGGGGCGGTGACCGGCTAGGTCCTCCCCGCGCACCCTCCCCTCCGCGTCCGCGACCGCCCCCGCGCCCCGCGCCCCCGAGCCCCGGACCGCCCGTGAGCCTGCCCCGCCCCCCGACTTCCAGCAGCTTCCAGCCGCCCCCTCCCCACCTCGCGCGCCCTCGCGCCAGACAGCCCTGCGGCCCAATCGAGGCGCGGCGCCCCGACAACGGCGACCAATCAGAGGGCGTCGGCCGCGCCGCGCTCCGCCCTATGCCAGGCCCCGGCCGAGGGGCGCCGGTCGGCGGCGCTGCGCGGCGGGGCGCGCTGGCCTGCGCCCCCTCGTCCTCCTGCTGCTCCTCTCTAGGGTCAGCGGGCCTCCACCCGTCCAGGAGGGACAGTGGACAACAAAGGGGACCTGGGTGGCCTCCAGACAAAGGGACGGCGCGAGGGGCGCCGTCTCGCCAGCCAGAGCAAGTTGGGGACAAAGCCTGGAGCTGGGACGACGAGGAGGGCAACACACCAAAAAAGTGACCTAGATGCGAGGCCCCTTTGTTTTCGTGGTTGCTGCGGGAAAGCGCAGCCTCGAGGCCAGTTCCAGCTGTGTCCCTGGGCCTTCCGGGGCCAGCGAGCGCACAGGTGGCCCCACCGGCACCTGCGCGGACTAGCCGCCGGCGCGGGGAGGGCGGGGGACGCCGGTTGCGAGCCTCCGCGCACTCGAGGCGCTTTCCGCCCGTGCCATGGGCAGGGTATCATCGACTTGCCCGAACTTAATCGGGGTCCGCTAGTGTCTAGAAACCTTCAAAAGGGGAGGGAGGCTGGAAGCGATTATCTAGAGCTCAAAATTCAGGGACGAGCTGTCTGAATTTAGGAGGAGGGCTCAGTCATGGTTAGTGAGAATTTAACCTCAAGCTTTCGTGTTTTAAGAGCCAATTTTAAGGTGTGTGTTAACACATTGTCGCTACAACTACCATGTGACATAGGGCTGTGGCCACCCTCAATTCAGCCAAGACCTCGAGTCGCAGGAAAGTTCAGTGACCAGCCCACGAGTGCACAGCTAATGAATAGGGAGGGGATTGTGACCCCACTACTCTACCTTCAGTCTCCCTCTGCGTCCTGACCCCAGACCCAGCCCAGGAAGTCTCATCAGTGATCAGGTGTCTGGCCTCCTCGGTGACCCCTGCGGAGGCAGAGGGTGAGACCGCGCCGGTGTGAAGCTGGAGCTTCGAGAACCCACTCTCTGGACCGCCGCGGTCCCTCTGAAATGGAGGCTGTGGGGTCTCTCAGTCCAGCCTCCTCCTGCCCGACGTGCTTTGATCATTCGGTTAACTTACCCAGATGAAGGATGGAAAGCTGGATCAGCAACCAGAACCTTCCCTCTCCCCGGGTCGGATTCCAACGGGACTTGGAGTCTGTTAGAGGATGGGCTGCACTGTGAATGCGGGGTAATCTGGATGTCTCTATGCATATAATCTTGGAAAATGTTGTGTTTTATCCCTTTTTGTTCCCTTTTGGGGAAGTATAGAGGAAGTATACAGGCGGCTGAGCACACAAACTGAAGGAAATTTGAAATATTGTTTAAAAAACTTGAAAGGTGAGTGTTAGGAACATATTACAACCTAAAGTAAGCAGCCGAAAGATAGACTCTCAGGACTGGAACAATGTCTGCAGAGAAGAGCTTCCTTAGACTGAACTTTAGTAGCACATGATAGAGCGTATTGTAGTCTTTATTTGGGATGACTTTATTCCCTGTATTTGGGATACATAAAAGTAATATCTATAATGGGGAGGACTTTAACCATCTGGAAAATTAGGCTGTGTCATAAAGCTATAGGGTAAAATGCAGGGTCATATTAATAACAGCTTAAATTTGGAAGTGAAACAGGTAGGTTTTCAGCTACCTCTTTTACTGCTGCAAGATATTGGACAAGTTACTTAACCTTTCTAAGGTTCAGTTCCCTCATGTGTAAAAATGAGCGTAATGATAGCATAAATTATATTCTATAAATGATAATTCATAAATTATAGGTCTTACATAAGGAGCTCAGAACTGTGGGTGGTGCATAATAAGAATTAAAATATATTAATTGCCATCCAAGAAATATAATGTAATTCTGAAAGTGGAAAATTTTTCTCATTAAAAATACTACATTTTCATGTTTTTAATGAAGCTAATAACGCAGTGATGATCGCATAAATTTGATGCAGGCTGTCTGACTGGTATCTGCTAATTAGACCAAAAGCCCTTAAACAGTGACGAAAGGAGAAAGAATTGAACTAATTATACATAATGCCTCACTGTCCTATCTCAGATGACATCCATCCTATAAAAGCGATTCTCACATTCTTAATTCTTAAAAACAAACATTCACTGAGTGCTTGCCAGGTTCAAGGACCTGTGCGGGGTTCTAAAAAAGTAATGATACTTGTAATCAAAAGAAGAAACAGTCACACAAATAGTGAAGAGTTATCACTTTGTAATACTTTCGAGGTGAACCGTTTGTAAGGTATATGAATGTCTAATCACTATGTCTTACTCTTGAAACTAATATTGTATGTCAACTGTAATTGGAAAATAAATTAGAAAAGTACCAAATGAGGCCTTTTATTAAATGTTAAAGGAATACTTCCAGGAGAAAGAAACTTGGCTGGAAGTCCAAAGGCCTGAATTTTAGTCCTGACTTTTCCACTTACATAGCTGTGAACTTGAAAAATCTGTTTAACTTCCCAGTGCCTTAAGTTTCTCATTGTTAAATATGGACAATGACAAGTTTTTGTCCTACTTCACAGGAGTATTGTGATTATGAACATGAAATTAATAATAGACTAAGCTATTTTAAAATATATTAGTAATATTAGTATTTGAAATAATGTGTAGAAAAGGGATTTCAACATAGCAACCACATTTCACCAAGTTGCCAACTTAGGCCAAACCTTGAGGGCAGCAAGCAGAGGTCACGAATAAGGAAATGACCAACCCCCAGGGTCCTCGCTCTCCTACCTGGCTCTCCCCTCCTAAAATGGCTATAGTAATTAAAGATTGCTAAAATGAAAATGTCCCCCCCCCCCGGCTTATTTTTAACTATGAATAAGCCACTCGGAAGAAACGAATGATCTGTCAAGCTCCTTTTCTTTCATAAAAACGGCATGTGTCACGACACTCATGTTCTCAGGCTGTTGTTTTGCCTATTCTGTGCCCTTATATCCTGGAACGACTTTGGTGACGAAAGGCATTGGACTGTACCCATCGGAAAAGCCCAGTCAACTGGCTGCGCTGCCGAAGCACCTGCAGGCTAACGCTGACCTGAGACCCGAGGGTGACGTTCAGAGAGCCACCCTGCAAGACCTGAGACGATCCCGTTAGGGCTTCACAGAGCAGACGGAACTGGAGGTAACAAACGCAGGAAACGGCCGGCGAGCCGCCCGGGAGCCCCAGCGCGGCCCCACTGCTGACACGACCCGTGTGACCGCAGATCGTTTTATCTTCAGGTTCGTTGTCCAGACGTGAGGCGATTAAAAAACTAACGTCAGTGGTCCCTGCTTCCTAAAGTTACGTGATTCCCAACATGCTGTCTAGGTTTGTCTAAGAAACGCAAACACGGCTATTGCTCATCGGCTTGCGAAGTGCGGCGCTTTCCGGTTGCTCCCTCTGGTCCCTGGGCTGCCTCTCCTTGGTCGTCTCTCTAATCAAACTTGCTTCTTGAAAATGCCTGTCGGTCTCGGAGGCCTAGGACGATGCTTGGGTCGCATCCGTCCATCTTGGTGCGATGGCCCATTCTCCTCATGGGTTTATTGGGCTCCTTTCTCCGAGTCCAGTCTCAATTCAGAGAACACCCCCTCTGTGCTTGCACCACGTGAAACCCTTCCGTCTCTAGGCGTAGAGAAACAGACTCCCTTGCGCCCTCGCATTTGCATAATGGCACTTGTGTTCCATCTTGAAGCATCTTACACGGACGCCGCCCCACCCTCCCAGGTTGCCTCACAATCGCTGTCTGCACCTGCCGCGCTGTCCTCCAGGGACCACGCAGACCTCGTTCCCTCAGCTCTGCCTGATAGTTCGGGTTACTTCTGTTTATCTGTAATTGTAAGAGCTCCCTCCCTTACTTATGCTGACAGAGCCCTTCTCTCCCAGGGAGCCCCGCCCAGCAACTCGGGAGGAGTTTCACCCCCTCTTCCGATGCCAGCTCTGTAATGAGGAGAAAGTGGCGATTCTCCAGCCCCCCCAAGGGGTTCTGCATCGTCCCCCAGAAGCCACCGCTTGCGGCGAGTTTTCCTCTCTGGGAAAATGTGTCTAAACGTGTGTTGGGGCAGGCGTTTCCGCCTGAAGCCGCCCTGCATGACCGTGCTTACTCAGAGGCTGGCTTTTGCTCCTTGGATCCTAACACCGAGGCTGGAACCCGAAGCAGCGCAGAATGAGGGACGCGGGTCCTCTCCACCTTCTGTGTGATGCCTGTGGCTACCACGGCCACCCCAGTTCCCTCACCCAAGACCTGCTGTCCGGGACCGGTGACTCTTCTGGTTAAACACATGCTACCTGCCAAGAAATGTCCTTATAATCAGATAAGGGCTTGGTTTCGATTTCATCAAATTATATTTTAATTTAATTCCATCTGAAAGCAGATAGTTCTTCCTTCTTATTTGGGTTTCTGTATGTAAATTCTGATCTAGGTTTTAAATACCTATAGCACAGGATAGTTTTATTATCACAACATATTTATAATGAAAATCTAGAATGAAAGGGGTACCGAGTGTTCCCAAGGTAGCTTACACCACCTGTATGATTAGATTTATAAATAATGGGTTGCCACTTTCAAAATGAGGATGTAGATCAGGTGGGAATGACCACCGACAGGAGTCCCTTTCTTAGATTCCTCATATGAAATACCCCCACTAACGTTGATGAGGCTTTGGGGGTGGGGGAATGATGTAAAA